GTGACCTCTAAGATCCCCCCCAACTCTATGACTCCATGATCAAGAGGCTGACAGGGCACCAGGCTGTACAGTACACACACTACAAAGCTGCAGTCTAATCCTATGGAGTCTGGACTTGAGGAAACAGGCATGGCAGTTAAGAAGAATTTATAAAGGCAGAACATGAAGAAAGCCATCTTGGATGAATTAAGAGCGCTTCCCTTAAGGAGGACCCACACTGGCATAAATGGGATCACAAAGTTTAAGGCGGATGAATAGATTTCTTCATTCATCAGTTCAAACAATATTCCTTATTTCTGTCTAAATAAGGAAAGCCACCTGTGGCTCATATCACGTGTTTCTGAGAAGAGGGTTGGGATACACAAAGGCTAGGGTATCTGATGAATTTGATAGCCTCTTCCTGTTTTGATTGCATGTTCCTGTTGAGTGCTTTTTAATGCACTGGAGGGAGTGCTCTATCATTAAAACAATGAATAAATACATTATTTTTAATTAAAATAATTGACCAAAACGTTGGAGGTGACAGGGAGCGAGGGCGTCTGAAGGCACCACATTGATTGCTCGGCTCTATAGCATGAAATGATGCTCTCTCTGCATTGCCTTCCTTTCCTTGACCAAAGATGGTACAGAAAAGTTTTCAATAACCAATATCTGTAGGAGCCTGGGCCCCTCGGAAGAGTAGCAGTTTTGTGACTGGGAGCTCTGCTCTTTGGATTCCACCAAAAATCTCAGTTATTTCCCCCCACCCCCTGCCAATCACGAACAGGGGCACTTGGGGTGAGGAGAAAAAAATTATATCAGGGAGGGAGTCAAAAACGTTAAGGTGGTGGCCACCAACCTGCCATCAAACCCTTTTTTAATGAGCAATGCAGTGTAAGGCAGGGTAGGGCTTTGATGGTGGAAGGAAGATGGAGGCCACCATCTTGACTTTTTTGATCCTCTCCCTGGGGACACCCCTAGTTGACATTGCGAGGTTATGTGAGAACGAAATCCATATCTATATGTACACGTACATATAAATGACTAAGAGAATTACTGTTTTCGCTCAATTGTATTTATTTATTTATTTGTTCAATTTATATAGCCACTCATCTCACTTACAAAAATCATGGCCTCCAACCGAAGTGGGTGCAGATAAGCACCTGCCAGGAGGCTGGGGTGCCATGGAGGAAGGGAAGGCTGGAGCACATCAGTGTGTGCCCATGGCCATCCCCGGGGGGAGGGGAGGGGGCAAGTGACATCCTATTGTGTTTCTGATGATATCACGCAAATACCACAAATTATGTACCTTGCATCATTTGCACAGTGATGTCACGATGGCTGTCATGTCATTGTGGCGTCTACCAGCCGCTCGCGCATCTGCCCGCCCTGGAAGATGGCTGCCTCTGGTGATGCAAGCGACGGCCAGGCGTCCGCACGGCCAGTTGGAGGCCGACCAGCAGAGAAAGGAGAGCCCTTGAACTGTTCTGTGGATGGGGAACAGAGAAGAAATTATTCAGCCCCAGTGAGAAAACGGGAGAATCCCAAGATAATTTATTATCATTATTATTATTATTATTGGTGATCTATAATTAAATTCATGGTCTAAGACTGGTGGAAGCCCAATAATTCAAGTCCTAGCTAAGATTCTAAGAATTATTAAGGCAGAGTCTGAGAATATAGGCAGTTCCTAGCTGGGTGCTTTTTTGTAAAATTAGGGTGTTCAGGTCTGATAAATTCAAAATCTCCAAATATCAACGGAGGAGTCCTTTAGGTATTGCTCCAAGGGCTTCAGTTGCAATTAGTATAATGGTGGATTTCTTTTTCCATAAGTGTTCAGCTTTGATCTGCAAGTCCTGGTATTTCATAATTTTTTCCAATTGTTTTTCCTCAATTCTAGCATCAGCCGGTCTAGCCACATCCGTGAACCAGACTTTCTTCTTTTCAGTATCTGTGCCCTGGGAAGCCCAGACTGCAGGGCTCTGGGTCAGGGATCAGGAGGGGAAAGGGAGGGGGCTGAGCACGGAGCAGCCCCCAGCTTTCCAAGCCGCTGCCCAGCTGCCCCTCCCATCGGGATGTATTGGGGGGATTTTTCCTGGATTTCTCCCCCCCGCAGCCCACAGCTGGATCCAGAGCATGTTCAGACTCAGTCCTCCTTTTACTGACATCGCCTCTCCCCACAGCAAAGAGGGTCACGTTCTGTTCAGTTCTCAAGGAGTTATCCTGCTGATGGACAGACAGATGGGAGGACAGAGTTAGTGGCATGGGGGTGGGGGGGCTCAAAGGGGGCAGAATGGTGAAGGCGGTGTCACAGCATTGCGACACAAGCCCTGCCCTTTTTGTGACATTGCACAGAGTTGGGGCTTGCAACGCAATGTAACAGTGTGATGCTGCTTTTCTCATTTTGATGGAAACGTCCAGGACCTTCTGTGGATGTTCCTGGATTTAAGTGGGAGCTTTCAACCTCTCATTAATTTCCCCCTTTTTTTCTTCAACAGGAGCCCTTAAACTCTTGCTAATTACATTTTAAAAACTTGACTTTAATTTGCTTCTTTGCAAGAACTCCATTGGCTGAAAGGAGACCTTTTTCCTGCTGCGTAGACTCACCCCCGCCCGCCGTTTTGGACTTTGTACCCATTTCTTTTCGCTCTTTATCCTGCAAAGAGTTGCTGTCCAAGAGAAAAACAAAATGCCTGTGCCAATTGCCAATGCCATCCTAAATGCCCTCTTCAAGCGCACAGATGGATGTCCCTCCACAGTTGCAAAAGAGTTCTAAGAATGATTTGTTCTTTCTGTGATTAATATTGCTGCTATAGGTGTTGTCTGTCTGTCTGTCTGTCTGTCTATCGCTATCTATCTCTGATTTGTAACCACAAACAATGGACAGTGCCACATCATTTTAGTGCCGGTGGCTATAGGTTTGAGCCCCACAAGGTGGCAGTGTTATCTCATACAAGCTTAATGAGATGCTTTACAGTATTTAAAATGCTGGAAAATACAATTCATTGATGCTAATTCTCTTCACCTTCGGGATTCATGGAATCATGCAAACAGGATATTTTCCCTGATATTTGTTTGCATTTCTTTGTTCCTGGAATAAGGCGCGTGAACCATTTTCTCAATATAGCAAAATCTTCAGGGAGAGCAGAAATGTTTGGAATAAGTACTGAAAACAACATAGGAGAGAGCTCTACTCCTGTGCTCCACCTAAGGCAGATTTAAACAGGGAAAGAGAGCTGGATTCTGCCAGCTGCATGTTGCTGGGCCTGTCCCAAAACCCTTGTGGGTTTTCGGCTGCTTCTGCCAACCAGGGATTTTGCACGGCTCTACCGTTTACTGTCGTTTGTTACTTGCGTGGAGCGAGCCTGCCATGCTGCCTCCTCCACGGGAGCCACGGCCATACACTCCCCTTCCAACCAGTCCTTCCAGCCTCATCTGTGTCCTCTTCTGCATCTGTGACCAATTGGCCTGACTGTTGGGGGATACGGATTTGGCGCTCTTTCAGAAGAGCAGTAGGCCCATGCTCCAGAGTAGCCTGATGACAGATAATAGATGAGTCTGGTTAGATGGGCAAGATGGCAGGGGGTAAACTGGGCATTCTGGGTTCCTGCCTATCCCTTCCCCAGCACCCATGGAGGGGAGTACATGTTGTCTTTCCAGCCAGTGAGTGATGCTCTCTGGGGGGGAATGCAGCAGTGAGAGAGGGCTGGGGCCTTTTTAAAGCCCCACTCACCAGGTTTCATGCTCAGCCTGTGGGTAAACTTCAAAACAGACCCTGTAACCAACAAGAAACTGAAGATATAGCATCAGGATTTAAGAGATTGAAGATGTCAAACATGCCAAATGCACCCTCAGTCTGGGTCGCATAACAAGCCTGTCTCTGCCTCCAAGATGCTCGGCACTTTAACTCTGCCAGCCTCCAAATCCACAGCCATGCTGGCTGTTCAGAAGCCCAGGCTCAGCATAACAGTCAGGTTAGCTGATTAATGGATTATATTTCTACACCTCTGTGATCAAATCAACTAGCTTGCCTCAGTGGCTGTGTCTGAGGAGCACAGGCAGCCCCACTGAGGCTCACTGCAGTGGCTTCCTCTTCTGTGGCGATGGGAGCATGAATTCCCGTTGGCAGGTAGGGCTACAACTGGTGGTCTCCTGGCCTGAGTCTCTACTTGCGTATCCAGTAAAAGAGGCATCTGTGAGGGGGGGCACGGGGAGCAAGTGACAACCACCCATCGTGGTTTGTTGCAGAACGCAACATCACCACACAAGTTCAAAAGGGCAGAGCTTGCCGAGTGATGTCACACTGCACGTTTCATCATTTTGACATCATTGTGGTTAGCAATTTAGGCTTACGTCCAGCAGTAATCAGGCCACATGCAGGAAGCCCCAAGGAGACACCCATCGCTGACCACAGTAAAAAAACTGGGAGGGAACACACTCTGGCCCGTCTCTGACAACCTGAAGCTTGACTAATGCCGGTGTGCTGCCTTCATGTCCTCCAAAATGTTTGACTTCCTCCACGCATAGCCCAAAATCAGGAGGAATTGTTTAAGTGGTAGCCCCTTTCCCAGCTAAACAATTTCATTAAAGGGCAGCAGCTTTCGTGAACTGCAGGTCGCTTCATCAGATGCGTAGACTGGCTGGAAGGAGGGGAGGACAGGCTGGTTATGCAGATGACACTCAAGATCAACCACAAGTCCTTTATCGATTAACAATTGCAGTTTGTTAAAAGCCCATTGTGTGTTTGAGGTTTTCTGAGATCGCCTGGATCCTCTTGATGGTCAAGAGTTTCTCACCCGAGGGTGCTGCTGGAGGTTGAAATGCTCCAATATTACCAGATACGGCCGTTCTGTCTTCCTGTCTTCCCTTTCCCCAGCTCTACCTCATCTCAATTTAAATCCTAAATTTAAATCTTGCTGGAGCTTGAACAGACAGAAACTGGGTGTGCGTATCATGCCAAGCCTTAATTGGTTTAACCATGGTTTATGGAATAAACCATAATTGTCTGAGTTTTCACTTTACCCTAATACAATGTCTATATTCACAAAGCACCACCAGATCTGGGCTGCAATACCTCGGCCGGCCATTAGACGGCAGCAAAGCATTTGTTCTTTCGCTCACTTATCCATGTATTCCATTGAGGGGTCACCCAACTTCAGAAAACTCTGGGTGGCTTGCAAGATTGAAAGCAAAAAAACAATAATGGGAACAAAGACCGTCCATGCTAGGAAGAAGGTACTGAATTGGATAAAAAGTTACAGGGGCCCATCCCAAAGCCTGGGAAGACAGCCAAGCTTTTGATGCCTTTTTGAACATCATGGGGGGGGGGGGGCCAAAAGGACCCCTGGGGGGGACCGGGAAGGTGGGTTTTCTAGGCCCCACAAAAA